AAAACTAAAAACCCAATATTTTACTCATTTTAGTTTAATCGATTAAATTCTCCCAATTTTTACTTCCGCCTTTTTCCTCGCATGGAGAATCGAGAAGTACATAAAAAATATATAAACCATGAATTTTACGATATTTACGATATATTCACGATATAATCAATAATAATGTATATAAATATATGGAATACATGTTTTAAATATTAAAAAAATGCATCTTTGTCGATTTTCTTAATTCAATTATCAAAATTCGATAAATCCGAGTCTCCAGTTGAAATGAAATGAGAGGGATAAACCGAGGGGACAAATTATGAAATATTTGAGATGTTTATCGAGATTCAAACGTTGTTAAAAAACTCTAGTCTTCTGACACCGTGATTTACTTTATTTTTATTAAAAATGAAAGGAAGACGCGAGAGTTGTCGTCATTTTAGTAACCGATAAAAAAATTAGACGAGTGTCTAGACCCGTTACGATGTATTCTGAAATCGAGATGGGAATGACGATGGATAAGAGTAAAGAGATAAGTACACCGATCTATCGATAGTAATTATAACCCCCAATTGTAATCCACCCAGTAATCTCGAAAATTAACTATATAATCGAGTGTTCTATGTTACCCACAAATTAATCAACAGCCAATTAATAAACAAAAAAAAAATACACGAAGCAAACGTCAAAGTTCCCGATTAACCTGTAATCAAATAATCTACAGTAATTAACGATAAAATGAAAAATAGGGAAATACAGATTTTTTTCAAATTGCTGAATTTGAATTGCCCACTGATCTAGTTTTTATTGCTTGCAAGATAACGAGAGTAGATTAAAGAGAATTTAATGAAAAAATATATACAATGATGTAATTGAGCTGTAATTGAACACCAAAAGCCGTAACTGTACTCCTCTAGCCAGTCATTTCGACGATTGATTGATTAACCACTCAGTGTCCATGATTAATTAATTAAAAACGGATGAATTACGTAGAATAGTCACTGTCAGGTGTAATTCACATTCCGATAAAAAAAAAATTTATTGAATACGAGTAGTTGGTGGTATGATTCATTCACCCGGCTGCACTGATAATCAAATTATTTTCTTTTTTTTTCGTCAATATTTCTTCGAAATTTTGATGGACTACTTTATTCGTAATCAGAGCGAGATGTGATGTTGCTTGTGAAGTGGAATATTGTTTCACTTCACTTGTGATTTCTTGGGGAACTCGTCGAGACCAATTTTCAAATTTATATCCGCAATATCAATCAAATGAAAATGCAATTTACCCATTTTTCTGGATTTAATGGTATTGATAGGAATTAATATTCGGGTGATGTTTAATCAAAAATACTCCGAACAATAGTGCAAGATTTGTCAATTTATTTTCTTTATTCGGTCGGCGATTTAAAAAATGAAGAGAACGCCCCTCGAATGAAAATTTCAATGAAATCTCATTTACAATTCATTTCGTTGCATTCAATTTATATTTTCATTTTTATTTTTTGTTAGAGCTGGAGAAGGCGCAAAATAAACTAAAAAACTATTCCATTTGTTTACGTTATTTTATCATTGATTTGCTGTTGATTGGAGGGGCGGCGTGGAAATACCATAAATAAAAAAAGACCCTAGAGAAATGGGGGAGGGGTGCACTCGGGAAAATGATTTATTTAAACTCAATAGATTTTCCTCGAATCGATAAAAGTTGTGTGATAGATTTTTTTTGGATTCAAGCAATTGTTTTGTTTAAATAAATAATTTTTGTGGGATTGTCGTCCGTTTGTGGTGGTTCGGTGATAGTTTTTTAGAAGCGATGGAGAGTTGTAATTGTTCGTGGAAATTACAAACAGGATATTTTCTTCCTTTTCTTTACTCTTCTCGGTTCGTAATTTTCCTTTCATGTCGCACGCCGTGGGTTATCTACCTGTGACAACAGATCAATACTCACTATCATGAAGGAAATACCCTCGTTCGACAGCTGCGTTCAATGTAATGTACACTTAAATAAAAATTCACGGAAAATTACGCAATTTCCTTGGAATTTTCCGCCAAAAATTACGCAATTTCATTGAAAATTTTCCGCGAAAAATTACGGGACGAGTCGGAAATTGCACGAGTGCTCTGCGTAATTATTTTGTAAATTTTTTATTCGTGTAATTACAAAATCTATTCTTTGAATTCCGGGAGGAGCCAGGCGTTCGGTACTTTCGAGTCTTCTTTTTTTATTTTTGGGGAAATTCCAAATGACAAATAAAGCGACAGGAATCGGGGATTCCCCTACAGATTTACCTAGTTTTCCGATTTTTCATCAATTTCTCTGAAAAATAACAGTAAAAGTTGATTAAGCTCCAGAATATTTACATCAGGCAAAAAGTTTAATCAGTAAAATTAAAGAGCACTGTTATTGAATAATTAATATTTAAATTATTTAGAATTTCACCAAAAAATTCCGGGTCTCTTAAAAATTGGAATTTCCTCAAATATATTTTTTCGTGTTGACTGTATTGAGATATCTTGACGAAGACACGAGTTTAGGGACTTGGGATGACGAGAAATAATGATGATGATGATAAGAAACCGGTGTGAGGCAGTGAAAAATGTTTTCGGATAATCTGTTATCGATAGAGTCTGATTGACCCCGTCAATGGGCTCTTGGTACAATAATTTTATTTTTTCTATGATATCTCCCCCAACGAATCGAGTGCAGAGTCACTGGGCTTCGTCACGGGATAATTATCGTATCGATTAATTGATAAGTAGTCGGTCTCTCGATGAATCATAGATTAGTGGGGAAAGCGTGAAAATTGTTTCGGGGATTAATATTAAATAACTTAGATAGTCTGGGATTTTTCCACTAGGGGAAGATATCCGTTGAATCCTGG